CTTAAAGCAATGGACCTGAAGAGGCTCATCATCATCATCATCATTACACGTTAGCTGGAGGTGGAAAACACCTCAGCTATTGTGCCGCAATACAAAAGGCAAGAAAAGAAAAAAACAAACAAACAGTGGCACGCCCGCTGAGTCCCCAGTAACGGATGGACATCGTTCCGGAGAGCTAACAGCTGGCTGCCGTAAAAGAAAGTCATATTATGCCTAACGAGTGAGATCGTGATTGGAAGGGGATGCTAAACAGGAGGGGGATGGACAAAGGAACTCACAACACAAACGCCATTGGGGCCGGCTCCTAGCCATATCAGCAAGTGTGTCCAGCCAAACGTGTTCACCGTCCTTAGGACCCCAGCCAGGCAGTCGGGATGCACCAACCGACGCCAACTTCGAAGTGAGGGTTTTCATTTCTCGCGACCAAGTCATCACTTGGCCTCCCCTCCTCCTCCTCTTCCAACCGCACCCACAACGCGCAAACAATGCACGTCGTGGGAGTCGGTGTGCTGGCATGCGCAACACGTGGCCCAGCCATCGGAGCCTGGTGCGTGATATAATTGTGCTGAGCGGTTCACTCGCTCTTCCTGCACCAAATACGCGACGCCGAACACGCTCATTGCTCACGCGGTGTTCCCACCAGACATGAGCTAAGCTGCGAAGGCAGCGATGATCGAATTTGACGAGTCTCTTCATGTCTGTCGACCTGATGGGCCAGGTTTCACAGCCATATAGGAGAGTTGAACGGACGGCTGCGTTGTAAACTCTGCCCTTGAGGGCGAGAGTAATGTCGCGTCTGCGCCACAGGTGGCGGAGATTGGCAAAAGCACCTCGAGCTTTTGATATACGGTTCGTAACCTCATCTTCAATCCCACGGGTGCTAATATAGCTGCCCAGGTACTTGAATTCCTGAACGACTTCTAGCAGATCACCACCAAGCGTTAGCGCAGGGTTGGGTCCCTGCCAACCTTGGAGAAGTACTTTGCATTTCGATGGAGCAAAGCATAGCCCAAAACGACTGACAGCCAGTGCTAATCGGTTCAGTGCTGTTTGGCATGTTTGGGAGCTGTCACAGATTAGGGCAATATCGTCTGCATACTCCAAGTCAAGAAGTCGCTCACCAGGGAGTAGCTCCACACCTTCTAGGTCGTGTCCAGCGAACGCTGTTTCCATGACTTCATCAATAGCGAAGTTGAAGAGGAAAGGTGATAGCGGGCATCCTTGTCTCACACCGCTGGTGATACTGAAGGGTGGCGACAGTTTGCCATAAACCCTCACCCTGCCCGAACTATGTGCGTACAGCGCTTTGATAATGTTTACATATTTAGCAGGCACACCTTTCCTCAACAGACAGTCCCAAAGGGCACATCGATCGACTGAGTCGAAGGCACCTTTTATGTCAAGAAACACGACAACGGTGGGTCGCCAATAAACATGGCGGTGCTCCAACACTTGACGCAATGTGAAGATGTGGTCGATGCAGCCCCGACCTCGACGAAATCCAGCTTGCTCTTCACGAATTTGGCTTTCACGAGTGCCAGTCAGTCTGTGGAGAATGAGAGAGGCAAGCAATTTAGAGGCAATCGAAATCAGACTGATCCCTCTATGATTGCCACATACCAAACGGGAGCCTCCCTTGAAAATTGGGACAATGACGGAGCGGTTCCAGTCTGTCGGGACTGTCTCCTGCTCCCAAAGTTTTACTAGCAACTCGTGTAGATCACCTATTAGAGCAGGTCCACCGAATTTGAAGGGGGCTGGAGGAATAGTATCTGCTCCTGCGGCCTTATGCAATTTCAACAGCCTGATCTCACGTTCGACTTCTGCGCGTGATGGCGGATCCAAGGAGACGGCCCAAGGAGAAGGGCGCTCCATGCCCGAAGAAGAAAACGATAACTCAGGTTGGTTAAATTGCATAGCAAAGTGTTCAGCCCAACGCTCCAAGCGTTTTGACAGGCTGTGGATCATCTGCCCACTCTCGTCGCGTATGGTCTCGCTAACACCAGGTCTCCTGCTGCCTGTTGCCCGTATCAGACGGTATAACTTACGATGATTACCAATGGCAGCGGCTGTTTCCATCTCAGATGCACGATGAGACCACCAGGTTTCGCGGTCCTTCTTTAGGCTAGCACGTAGTTTCGCCCTGAGATTTTTGCGAGATTCATTGTATTCGCTTCCAGCCGGAATACGTCGGCGAGCATCCATAAGTTCCAGAGACTGTGTAGAGACCTAATGTCCGGTTTTGCAATTTGTTTTGCCACATGAAGACATGCCTGCTAATAGCAACGCTTGACGAGTGTGCGACCAGTGATCTTCAACGGTGTTTAGTGGACCTGAAGAGGCTAGTTACGTTCGACCACCGGTGCCTTCGTAATTTAGCTCACATCTGGTGGGAACACCGCATGAACAACGAGCGTGTTCGACGCCTTGTTTATGGCACAGGTAAAGGAACTGAACCGCTCAGCACCGTTATTTCACGCACCAGGCTCCGATGGCTCGGCCACGTGTTACGCATGCCAGCCCACCGACTCCCTCGACGTGCGTTGTTTGCTCACCGGGGATGTGGGTGGAAGAAGAGGATGGGTGGCCAAGCGATGACTTGGTCCAAAGGAATGAAGGCCCTCATTTCCGAGCTGGCCTCGGTTGGAGCGTCTCGGCTCCCTGGTTGGGGTCCGAAAGACGATGAACACGTTTGATTGGACACACTTGCTGATGTGGCTATGAGCAGACCTCAGTGGCGTTCGTGCTGTGAGTTCCTTTGTCCCACACCATCCCTCTTAGCCTCCCCCTCCAACCACGATCTCATTATTTAACCTTATATAATTTTGCATAGTAATTCTTTTGATACATAGTAGCCGGCTGGTAGCTTACCGGAACGATGCCCATCCGGTACTGGTAGCTCAGCCGACTTGCCCCAGTTTAATTCTTTGTTTTTCTCTCCTTTTTCTGTGTATTGCGGCACAGTAGCTGAGGTGTTCCCCACCTCTAGCTAACGTGTATGATGATGATATGATGGTGATGATGATGATAAGACATGACGCGTCGTTCAAAACAGTAAACATGCTTTACATTGTCTAATCGTGTTACTTCTGGCTTGCATTGATGCCCCTTTGTAGTGCTGGTTTTATTGATTTTAAACAGAGGACGAAGGGACGGTAACTGTCCCAGCCGTAATACTCATAAAACTTAACCCCACCGTGCTTGACGCAGGGTGTAATCTGGAGGGATCTATACCCTAGTAATTACGACGATATGTTCCGTGGTCATTGATGCTAAGACGCCGTGTCCTCAAGAAGGAGACTGGTGAGCGGTCGCTTCGAGCAAGTGGTTGGCGGGTCTCTAAGTCAAAAAAGCTAGTGGGCCTTCAAAAAAAACAGCGTTCCTACAATATCAGTTCAGTTCAATTGGGAGCAGAACAGTAGGAAAATCCCGTGAATGTTCCACCTTCGAAAACGTCGTTGATCCAACAGGGAAAGCGGTGCATTGATGTGCCAAAGAACCAAATCAACACACGATTCACATGGTCAACCAATCAATGCCCACTTGCGCTGCACCAGCAGTCCCCGCTGTGCCAACCACGTGAAGAATAAAAGAAAACAGTAGTGTCAGTAAAGGTAAGGAAACAGAGAAGACAAGCTTAACGAATTTCGTAGTCAATATTAAGATGTAAGTTAAAATGAGTTAAAGATGTGTAGGCTGTAGTAAACGAAGAAAAGTTTAAGAATGAAGGGGAAGACTTTAAACTGCAGACCGAGAGCGTCAAGTCGATGCTTGAACTCTCACCGTCAATGCCATAACGGCGTCTGCATGCAGTGCGTTCTAATAAGCTATGACCCTACGCGATAACCGAAATCTGCCCAAACCCGGTCAGACCGGGGTTTGTGCAACTATGATGGGTGGCCACGAAAGGTTGGCGCTCGAGTTGGGCGAAACAGTTCAGTCAAATCAGGACCAATCTGACCCATCAGTATACGATATGTGAGGACCAAGTCGCTCTGAAGCCGCCTGTAATACATGGGAGACATATCCAAGTTACGTAGCCTCTCCGGGTACGTCAGCTTCTTTAGTCCGTGCACTATTTTTGTCCAGGATCGCACGACTCGTCCAACTGCCATCTTATCACGAACCATGCATGGAGGACAAGCCGGAACGCAGTATTCTAAGTGCGGCCTTACAAAAGCCGAAAACAGTCTAACGAACATTTTGGTTGTCATGATCCCGAATGATCTGCGGATCATCCACAACATGCTGAAACCTCTGCGAGTAGCTGTCGTCCAATGTTTACTGATCTGATGACAGCAAAACTCCGGTCAGATTGGAATTGAACTCGCGATACCTCGTAGTCGCCAAGCAAATAACGCGTCGGCCGGTCATTCTGACCAACGCATAAAAATGAACATTTTGCTAAATTAACGGGCACCTGCCATAAAATGGACCAGTCCCAAAGTCTACGCAGGGTCAGTGGACCAATCGGAACTTCCATCGTGAACCAAAGTCTCAAGTCATCCGCAAACACTAGGGATGGCATACCCAATTCATCGAGTAAGTCATTAACGTATAAAGTGAAGAAAAGGGGGCCAAGGACTGAACTTTACGGAACGCCACCGAGAACAGATTGGCGGAAGGACAGGCTTGAACCCACCCGCACAGACATTTCCCTTCCGATTAGGAAAGCTGAAACCCATCGTAAGACTGGTCCAGAAATACCGTAGGACTTCAAATATAAACAAATAAATCCTAATTATCTGTGTTTGTTAGTACTCATAATGATCCGAACCCTCGATACAATTAATCTTTGCCGTGCAATCAGAAAATTTAAAAATGGCGGCCCCCGAATAGCTGCGAAACAGGTTAGTTAAAGAACCTGTTCAACTGATGGTTTGAAAAACTGGACTATAGTACTTATTTGAAGCTTTTGGTATTTTCCACGGTCGTTGGGCTTAATTAACGTGATATATTACCTTAAATATTTTAAGCCATTTTGCACTTACCTAGTTGGATGGGATTCCAGTCCAACGGAGCCGAGTAACATATTTGGGATGTTAGCTTTGCAAAATCACCCTAGTTCCTCTGCAATAATGCAGTTCGATGCAGTGTCCACCGAATCCTTGGGATTTTCGTCAGCCACCTCGCCATTACCAGAGTCATTTAGCGTTTCGACTTCTCTCTGCTCCTTGGTAGATGATCAGGCGAATTCCGATACCAAAGACTATGCTGAAGTTATACGAAAGGCCCAAGAGGTCGTTGGATGTTTGAGTGATAGGTGTGAAGAATTAAGTCGGCTAAACGATTCATTCGATGTGCTTAGGAAAGAAATACGAAGTCAAATCGACCAATGCGTTCAGATGATCCAAAGGGCTTTGAATGAGCGACACGAACATCTTCTAAATGAGCTTGATTCTTTCCTTAGTGCAAGAAACGAAATCATAACAAAGATGCACACGGACTTCGAGGCTCGCCTTCAGCGGTTATCTTCTCATGTGGATTTGTTAAAGAGACTGATGTACATGTCACCAAACAGCACTCCAAGTGTTACTAAAAACACTTCCAATCTCCCTTCGCGTAACATTGCGGTTGAAAAGCATAAACAAGAAATTGAAAAACTACTTCAACTACCAGTTCCGTTCCACCCTTCTGAAAGTGACACAATGTCTTTCTTCCCTACAGAACTGGACCAACTACTCAGTTTGATTCGTTGCGTTGGTGCCGTGGGGCTAACTAGCATCGATGTAAACCGAACCACTCTGTCGAGAAATTGCGAAGAAGAATTTACCCCACTTCGTCGGTGTGCCCTCAACGAAGAAGTTAGGAGCGACATACTGCCTCTTGATTCTCTGGGACGTTGTGTAACTAACCCAACATCCAGAGACTTCACTGCCTCATTGACTCCACGGCAGGAGTGTGTCACCTACGCAAAAGTAAGCGAGATAAACAACACTACCAGAGTAAACAATCACGGTTCGTTTCCTACTTCGAATGAACATTCAGTTAAATGCGCCCAACTGCAAGTCGTATATAAGGTCTCTACTCCTGGATTGTATGATCTGAACATTAAATTGTACGGTGAGCACATACTGGGCTCACCGTTCCTCGTATACGCGCGTGCCGCCTGCAAACCTAATGTCCAAAAATGGATTAACGATATGAGGGACATTAGCCAGTCACCTTGTCGGATGCGAGCCGTTCTGGTATCTAGAAGGCGATGCAAGTCTTCCCCCGCTGTTTCGATTGAGCATGTCCCACTAGAAGCCTTGGCGGACCTGAACGCTCTTGAGAAAGGTGATTATTTATGTGCTATTGGAACCAAAGGACGTGGAGATGGAGAGTTCGCCAATCCAACCGGTGTTTGTGTAACCCGCGAGCACAAGTACTTGGTAACGGACAGTAGCAATGCCTCTGTTCAAGTATGTTTAAACAGCTGCTGATGAGGATTTCGCATAATACTTTCTCACCACTTTTCACCTGTAAATAGTAAGGAACTTTCATCAGATTATTGGTTACACCTGACGAACTTAACACCAGTCTTGATATAATCCAACCTTTAGGTGAAATTTAGTAGCTATTTGTAAATCGCGGTTTCCATTTAGCCAATGTTCTATAGAGGTGCTGCTCATAAATTATATATACATACATATATATATATATATATATATTCATTTATTTATCTATATTCACTTATTCATATATCCGTCACAATGCGAGCATGTGCCCCTAACCTGCCTTATCTAGAGGAACATTAGCATCCCTTTCTAATTTGCTTTTCAACTTAGATGATGCACAGTATTCCATGTGTTCCTCATACACTATACCCTACTTGAGCGCTCTACAACTGTCTTGGCAATTTTGTTATCAGACAAATGTCACAGGCCAATTATCATCCTATCGGTAATATAGTCTACAGCCACCTGCTAATTCCCTGGCAACTGTTACATTGTTTGCATTTGCACTGTAGTGCGACCTACACTGAAAATTATGCGTACGCAGCTTACCGGGCCTGATTCCACTGAGGGTCATGCATCAATCTGCAAGCTAAACCGAGATTCCACCGATAAGAGCAGGGTGGGGTGATCAGAAAGTATGTCACCTTCCATCAATTATCGCACCAAACACAACTGACCGATTGGCGGATGTTGGAATAACCGCTGGAACTTCCTTAGTGACCGATTTGTGCGCGTCTGGTTGTACCAGTAAAATAAAGTACGACCAAGTTTCGGTCACCCAAAAAAGCTTTCAGGCATAGCTTTAGCAAATGCTTCAAATGCATTTTTCCTAGCGGAAAATTCCTCCGCGTTCGTCACAATTCAGTTCTCAGAGTGTCGTAACGCAATGGAGTGAATGCTGGCTTGCATACTAAATGTTTTGATGGACGGATAAATGATCGAAATTTTTCTCACTGGGACGACCAGGGGCGCACATATCGGTCACACAGCTGCAGGCTATCGGTCAATTGCGTCGAATGGGTATATGGTTGTATTAATAATAAACGACTGATATGTTATGACCGAGGTGTTAAAGTGGCGTCAAACTACTTCGTGGAATACTTGGAGATTTTACGCAGTTTCTTTTATTGTGTTCCGTATGTTTATCTGCGTGACCGAACACACTTCGAAATGGGATGTCTGGCAATCCTCCTGTGCTGACAGGGATGGTTAGCTACTTACAGTTCACTGACAGCATGCAACAACCCTCAAGGATCACTGATGTAGGGACATCCGTAGCGCGATGCGCAACAAATACAGTTACTCTGGCAATCATTGCCCATCCACAACATCTAATGTTGCTAATGCATGCGCTTAGGCGGCCTCGTTTTTCTTTTTTTTCTACCGTTCAAGCAAATTGTGCAAGAGAATGGAAAAAGTGCTAATCTTCCTGTGCTAGCCTAGCCAGGTGTCTGTGCTTTCTTTCACTAGGGCTATTACATCCGCTGTAGAGTACAAGCAGGGAACAAAGACCGATTGTCGACGCTTATTGAGGAGTATATGTAATTCTTGATCACCAACAATATATGTCGGCCACGCAACATTTGTCCGGTAAGTGTAATGCTTCACTAACTACCATGTTCCCATCAAATGCGGACTGGCGTTGTGTTACTCCTGATGCACAGGATAATGGCAGATGAATTTCGCTCTGATTTGCAAATTATGCGGGAAAGCCTCAATTTTAAGAGAACCACTTGACAGCTAGAGCATTTTCAGGCTTTTAGAGCGATTGATTTCCACGTTTTCAGGATTATCACCGGACTCTCCACATATCTTCTCGATTATGCTGATGACCGTTATGAATGGGGATTTAGTTTCCGAGTTATCTGTATTCGTCCATTAATTGCCACCCCGAAGTTCAACTGATTGTCGTAAGACCTTCGAAAATTCGGACTATTAAGCACTTCGGAGCTAGATAGGCAGGAGTCTAATTCAACTCACATCCAACCGAGGGGCTGATAGCTCAATGGCATTGAAAGCACATGTTTATGTTTTTCCTACACTTCCCCTTATCCACCTGGTGTAGATGTCTTTTCCTGATGTAACTGTTTGTCGGTAAAAGTTGGCTATGCTTCATGACATTATGCGCAAATGTACTGGGTGTAGGACTCGTCTTCTTCCACCGCAATATCTGCTAGAAATTGGTCTACACTTTACCTCCGGTACTGCAAATTTACCGCATCTCTTTAAACGTGACTACTTATTCACTTCCCGCTTCTCGCGCTTTTTGTTATCATGACATTTCGTACCAATTGGGTTTTCGCAAAAACTTCGATACTGTGACAATCAAGTAGGTTTGGAAATTCTGACCAAACACTTGGCCCGAATTCTTCCTTCGCACTAGTTTTCCTTTTAACCTATACTTGTCCCAACGTGTCGCGTATAACAAAGTTAGCAAATAGCAGACGGTCAATTTGGCGGTTGTTCCGTTGTGTCCGATACAAGCAGGTTTGTGCATTGCATTCTGAATTGCTACTGATGGATGTCCTTGTCTGTTTGCTTACATATTTACCCACTTCCCCTTGTAAACCTTCTCCAGCCTAAACCCCATAGTTTTGTGCGTAGATCAAGTGTGTAGGAGTCATGAACTACTAAGCTATTGTGGATCACAACGCATAAAAACGCGGTCCCCGCAACACACAATCGTAGCCTATGGTGCTGCAGGAAATAGCCTTGACGGGCAGTCACCTTGCAGATGCATTTGTTCTGGTTCCGATATAACTTCCTGTAAATGCAACTCGCATTGTGTTTAGATGATGTATGTGTTGTATCTTGAGATTACTCCTCACGAATTAACAGAGAATACTATTTAGTTGGAAAAAGGAAAGTGGACATCTCTTCACATACTGCGGTATACGGGGTTGAACTCAAGTTCCTCTGCTCACCGTAGGTGCTTAGAGGAGGAACGACTGAACCAACTGAATGGTGGTGATGATAACGATAACGAATCCACCGTTAACACTGAATGAGGCTGGTCGGTTGCAACGATTATTCTCCGGATTATGCTACCAACCCGGTGTCCCTCTCCATCATCCACTCTTGTCGCAGCTGACTGATTTACCTTGGACACCTTACTCAACTCCACGAGTCAACCGGACTTTAGCTCTAACTGATCTAGTTGCCTATACTTTCGAATCATCGAATAAATTCGTAGTGATAAGTCTTGTAGTAACTAGATATTTTTGTAAGCGCTCAAAAAGGGAACTCCAGCAGTCAGCTAATTGAATTGAAAGTATATGTTTGTCGTGGTACCTAGAAACTGAGCCCATTTGGGACACATCATGTTTACATGCACATGTTTACCAATGCGGGGCCGTCGATAGTTGGGGTTTGTGCAACGACCCAGCCGTCTAAAACTTGTAAGAATGCTGACCACAGGAAACTGGCCGAGTAACCAACGACAGCAATAAGCGCATTTGCGGTCACTTGTTTTTGAAAACATTTCCAGCCTCGTCTCCTTAGCATCACACCCAGATGCGGTGCCATCCAGACCGCTACCGCTGCAGGCGGACACACCGTTGTGGGTAACAAATTCACCCACTGATTCCTTGGTTGGGAATATTTTTTAAAAATTTATTGCACTTCAACGGGCAACTATGCAACAACAACGCCCTTGTTTGGACAAACACCGTAAATTTGTCATCGAAGTTTGGCCGAAGAAACAAATATTTGTAGTGACCAATGCTGCGTAAATAAAGTGCATTTTGTCCGATGCCTACACCGCGCAGTTCACACGACACAATCACTTTGAAGTCAAGTCTGAGGCTTTTGTGGGCGAGCGCTTGAATTTGGCCCAAGTAAAGTTGCACCACATCGCTCACGGGTTCCCTAAAGTATACATCAATCTCATTTTGCATTGTCCCCAATGGCAAGGTGGTGTGATTGGAAGACACTCAAGGTTTGCTTCTTCTAACGGAACATTTAGCTTGAAACCAATACAGACTCGTCATTCCCCACCTTACAGTAGAATACTCTGTTGCTTTGTCATTTCCACTATTTTGATTCAATCGGTTGGTTTAAGTTAGTTTGGACAATAAAGCACACAGTTAAAGCGGATACAAACATCTTCATGAGTGCATAAAGCGCATTGTTGACATTGGTTCGTCTGCGTGGTATTGTGCTGTAATGTTGCTCGTTGCGCAAGCTTACAACCTTCTGGCTCGTCAGAGGGGTGCGGAATCAAAACTATATATTTGCTTAAGATGACTGGTAGCAATACGGACGTACTTGTAGGCTGCTACGGCATTGAAACGAACCCAATTCGATGGGTTTAAATTTCTCGATGGTCAACAGATAGTTTTGTTAATTAGTTCGGCCCGAATTCGAACTAAAACAAGCTAAAGGGTATTGACACTGCTAGGAATACGACCAGTGGATATCCATCTTAGTAATGCCTAACTTTCAAATAGTGAATAATCGTGGTTCTATTCGTTGACCATTCGTAGACAAAGTACTGATCAGCATTCACTTAGCTATTGAACCTGTCGTCTGAAAAATTAGTGTTTTCTTAGCAGACTGCGTATCTAACTACTGTCGGCTTCTCTTGCCCTCAAGTAGAAAGAACGCAGAATGACTTCAACTGATTTCACCACGACAGTGTGAAACAATTCCCACCGCTTGTTGGTGGTTGCATTGGTAATTGTGCCTCGGGTGTACTATTTCGATGAGTGACCTAGTTCCGAAAACCGCTTAGTAATAGGTGGGATATCGGACAGCATTCGCTTCGCAAGCGGCGTCCGCTACAGCTCAACTCGTACCCACGATTGGCAAATGAGTGACCGCGATTCAGAGAAACTGAGCTATTGCCACGTATTGGTGGTGACTGGATTCACACCAGTGAACTGCCTGTCCACAGCGATGAAACATATACACAGTCAGTTAACACAAAATGATTTACACATATAAAAACATAATTCCCACCATAA